AAGGTCGTAGCGTTTCGAATGATGGATCTTCCTTCGTCTTTAGGTATGAAGGGAAGATACGACAAATTAAAAATAACTCTGCCGGATCCAAAGTAGGTTTCACTCCATTTAGAAAGTCTTATATAAAGATTTGGTGGCATTGGATTACGTTTTGATCGCAGGACCATCAGTATGTGATTTTTGCAAACTGGCTATTGGTGAATGATTTTTCTATGGTTCTGTTAACCTCAGATCTGGGGTCACTGGCTTCTTAGGCCACTCTGGTTCTGTCAGACATCTTATTGTACCATGCACTGACCCCAGAGGACTGGCCGCTCTATATGTTTGCATCTTCGACCTTTCACTAAGCTTCTTTCGCAAGTCGTAGATGGATTGTTTTGGCCTTCTGCTCGCACTGGTTAGAGTGATTTCATCTTTACGCTCTTAGTTGTGAAGTTTGTATTCAGGTATGCAGTTCAAGAGTTACGAAGTCAGTATAAGTCATAAATAAGTCAGTGTCCTCTGGGTTATTGCGCCGTATAGTCTGGTAAAAGTTTGCTGACGCTGCAGATGAGCGTACTCCATCATCAAGTCTTGTTCATTGCACTGAAGATGGAATTAGCAAGGACCTCTGAAACATCGGTAAACGTCTTCTAGACTAGACGACGTAACAACCCAGAAGACAGCCGTCTTTAGACTCACCGCCGTGAAAACCTGAAATTGCAGATGTTGGTGTCTTATTATGTGTGAAGTTCGTGTTCAAGACTTATGGAAAGTCATAAATAAGTTCGCGTCCTATCAAAATATTAATGGAACTCTTCGTAGGTCAGTGTGGCCTGTCTGTTCATAGCTCAGCGTGTTGTTCACAGAGTCTGTGTATGGATTTCATTTGGTCATCAGAACACAGAGCAAAGGATATTCTGAAGATTATTAAAATACATTTGTACCGGTGATGTGATTTAGTGTGCTTTTCTTCGAGATGAGAATCGCGTTCTTATCTATTAATGTACTTTAGAGCAGTGGTGTTCAACATTTTTTGTTCGCGTACCCCCAGATATAATTTCTCTTCAACTTTGTACCCCTAAAGTTGTTGGTGTACAATTCAAGTTATACATAGTATATAATCTACATCTAAAATAAATTAAATAAATTACATTACTGATTATTTAGTGTTTATCATAAATTAATATACATTTTTTTTTAAATTTCAAGTACCCTCTAAGATGTCTTCGCGTACCATCGAGGTAACGCGTACCCCAGGTTGAATACCATTGTTTTAGAGGGTTATAAAAAATTTTCTAATCTGCATATTTTGTTGGATGCTTGCAATTTATCAACGTTCTAGAACTTGGAACAGTTTGTTTTAAGACAAACTGTGGCGAGGAACAGACACTTTCTTAACTCTACAGTCCTGAGTCTATTTATCCGTCCTTTCAAGAGCTGTACCTCAGGAGCTATTGCGTATGAAATTTGGTATAGTTATAGAACATACCATATCCACAAATTTTTCATCAAACATTTTTCCGTAAATATTTTAAAATTTACAAGCATGGCGATGAACTGGACGTTTTAAATTTTTTAATCATTCATCAGTTTTTCTGTAGGCCAGAAGTTTGCAGCTTTTGGAGAACGGGCACCATAGGTTGTCCGTGAATGTCTTCCATGAGGTGAATTGCTCTATAAACCCTAAAAAAACTGCGTGATAACTCTGAAAGTGCCTGTAGGTGCCGCCACTGCTGTCTTTCGTATCGGATATCGACATTGGCGTGATCTGCTATCCACATGGACTGATATGTCTCTTTTCTCTCTGCCTCTTTTATGTGGTGATGCAAGATCAGTAAGCTTCTTACGCTTCGACTTTGATATTTAACCATTCTGACTTCAGTCACGGCCATATCTTTCAATACCTGCTGTGAACTGTTGTTCGTCTCTTGGTCTGAATGAGTACAATAAAGGTATTATTATGTCAGTTATTGCTGACCGTTTGAAGCAGAGCGCTCGTTTCAAGTATTGTTCGCTGATCTTCTAATCGTCGGTGAATGCATCTAGCTGCTAGCAAGTCTTTGGTAATATTGCCGACGGGTTTGAGTGAGTGTATTCTTCATACTTAAAATCAATTAGACCCTGAACCCCGAGGCTGTGGAAACTATGAGCAGAAGATATTATAGGACGCTGAGGACTGTTGATTCAGGAAAGAAAAAGCTGAATATACGAGAGGCTATGGTTATTTATGCAATTTATGACCGGCGTTGAACGGTGCATGCACGTCTGAAGGATCTGCTGTGTGAAGTTGCGCGGGTTGCAACTCTGTGTGTCACCCTGTAGGAAATCTTTGTAGGATTTGAGGTTTTCACGGCGGTGAGTCTGAAGATGGCTGTCTTCTGCGTTGTTGCTGCCTACATCATCAGGGCTCGCCCCAATAATGGAGGTAGCAAGGGCCTCTGAAACGTCGGTAAACTTCTACCAGACTACAGGGCTTCGGAATTTAAATCAGACATGTATTTTTTCTTGATTTATATAACGACGCTTTGTCAGCTGCTTAGGTTATGTGGAGTCGAGTACTGTGGTGATGAATGTTTTAAGGACTTGGAAAGCGGTATCATCCCAGAACTGGAGTAACGGGTGAAAAGTAATGCACAGCGTCTATCTGTATGAAGGACTTGAGATCATTTCCAGAGCATCAGGGTTTATCCCCGCCCAGTTTCTTGGATTGCAATAAAGTAAACTGGACGAGAAAAGATGTGATTGATGCACCGTAACTGTGTTGTTTGAATAAAGGCGTGTGGCACTTTGGCCGAAACAAATTTGAATGAAATTCAGATTGAAGTTTGGAAGTGACGTATTGTAGTTGTGTGGGCTTCAACATTGCTATCAGGCGCGTGCTCGTACGAGTGGTTACGCGTGTTGAACTGTCACCAGTTAGTGACACGACTGCTAATGGTTTCGCCGACTCTGTTTTGTATAGGCCACTTCTGTTTACAGAATCGTGACAACCTATTGTAGCGGAGAAGAAAAACGGATTAGCTATTGAAATTGGACATGATTCGTTTTGTCCACGGATTTCGCTCTTTACCGTTTTGTCATGCTTAAACGGTCATCGGCAACGAAGAAACTGAGTAAGAGGCGTGCTCTTTTTTGTAAGCAGTGGTTGTTCTTGTCCGTAGATTTCAGTGTGTAACTTTGGCTTTCGGGTGAAAGCCGCGTCCGTGGGGCTCTTATCCAAAAGCCGAAATTGTACTGGTGATAGTTATTCATGTGAACAGTAACTCCGCCTTAATTAACATTAAGGCCATCACAGAATTCTCACGAAGTTCAGTGCATATAACGTATGCACATTATCTATAACGATACGTTTTAATATTATCTTCTCGTTTGTGCCTGCATGTGATATATTCCCCTTCAGTTTACCATGATTTTCCTCAGGACCTTCAGACGTATTGGCGTGACCGCTTCCATTCATGTCTTTGCATAATAGATGGTTTTGTTTTGTAGTTGTGTTTACTGTTTGGTGAGTGGAGATGAATATGGAACTCCTCCTGTGTGAATAATTTGCTAGCGAAGTTCTCCGATCGCTGTCACCTCGGATGATTTTGCAGCATTGGAAACTTTTGCTAGAATAAATGGCTCGAATGCCAAATAATAAGTGTTCTGAGTTGAAACTGTTGTTCCTAGTGATATTATGGGGATTTACGTAAGCGATTTGGACTACGATTCTTACTGGTAAAATTCTAGTATACTGCTGTTAGCATAAATAAAATCATCAGTTCTTTTGTGAGCTCGGGGAGAGGTATGTGATAAAATGAAGTGATAGTGTGCGAGGTTTTCTTCGTGGAATAGTGATTAATATTATTTTTTAATCCGGAAAATTGCTGAAAACGTGAGAAGAACGTGTTCGATGCTGAAACCATAACGAATCATGTATATCAGCTTCTTCACACTTTGTAACTACTCTTCTCACGCTCCATTGTTCGGTGATCCAAGTTCACGTCTCGTAGCGATGTTTTCTGCCTCAGTTTATAGGCACGATCATTGCTCTCTGCTGTCTGAACATACCACACTGTATCGATGTTGTTCTTATGGCTTGTAACGCCACGTGGACTTACGAGTAGGTGACAACATGTCAGAGGAACACACTGCGTTTATCTTCAAGGCTGAAATTTCACCTTCAAGTGCATTATTTAAGTATGCAGTTCGAATGTAGAGGTTGACTCCGTACCGGGTATTTTTTCGCGGTTTGTGCCAATAAATATCAAATTTAATAGCGCTGTGTTATCTGCTGAGGTTATTTACTTACTGTTCAGGTCATCAGAAAGTAACACGGATTTGACACGAAGTAATCTACAGCTGTACACATTCCTGAATTAATCATATTATTGTTTGTTATGTGGGTAAGAGAATAAATGTTCTTAAAGAAATTTGTGTGAACTCTGAATTTGCATTTCGCCATCCATTAGTGCAAAGCCGCTTCGTGCATAGAAGTCACTTGATTACATATCTAACCGTTAAGTAATTAGTCATGATCCTATTTTGTACAAACATCCAAATGTAACTGGCAGAAAATTGCTTACAATAATTTAGCCTGTGAGTTAATATAATGTTGAGCAAGTTTCCGTATTCTGCAGTCTTACACAGTTATTTCCAATAATTGCATAATGGTTGAATGTGTGTATTTTATAAATAAGGTGTATATTATATTTGACACTAGGCTTTAAAGAGTTAAAATGTTAACAGTGATCAGCTGGGGTATCCAGGTGCCCCATTGTCTCGGGAAAGTCTGCTTGGATGTAAAATAGGCCCATATTTCAGTGGTTCTGATTCTTGTAACCCAGGATAGATCAGTATTTGGAAGATACATGGATTTCGTTATTATGGAACATAAGAACTGTTAGTCCACAGCTGGTCAATATACGCCCCGTTCTTTATATCACGCGTCAGTTAGCACGTAATCCACGTACAATCTGAAATAGTTAAGTCGATTTATTCTACTGTATTTGGTTTTAAAAATTTTCATGCAATCTTACCTGAATCTTTTCGACCTTCTGTTGTGGACGTTCCCGTCTACTGTTGTAGTAATGTCGCCGGCCAGGATATTCCTGTGTAGTAACAGTGGTGTTTGAATTATCGTCTTCTGATGCTTGTTTACTGTCATAGTGACGACTGGGGTAGAAACTGGTAGTAGCTGTCACGTCTTTGAGACGGTTGTTGTCAGTGACAGCCATTTCTGTTGGCGTCACGGTGATCTGCATCGCCCTCGAGTTTAAGTCACGACGATTAGGGTAGACGCTTCTCGGCGTCACGTCCTGGTGATCGTTTGACTCTTTGATTCCTGGCGATAAGGAGGCCAGTGTTGAAGAGAATGGCGTGGCTCGTGAACTGTTATGCTTGTACACTTCGGAACTAGTTGCAGGGACCCAGGTTTCTGATTTTGTACACCCCACGTTGTATAAGACGATAATTGAAGCTACAAGAAATATATTTCCTAACTCCATTGTCATATCTGAATTTTAGTAAAGTTACAACACAGATTGTTAATTTGGAGATAAATTATTTATATTTGAAGTGTTTTGTCACTTTGTGGGCGGGTTCACTTTGTTATTTAGCAGCACGACATTTAATGAAAATCTTATTAAACATTGCTTTGTTAGAAGTCCAGTGTAAGTTGTGTATTTCTTAAATATACGTGCAGGCTGATAATAATTGTCGTCAGGTGTACGTGGTTGCGTCTTTGTTGCTGTAATTTCCAGTATGGTGATTCAAATTTAACTTTGAAATTTGCGTTACGACAGTAGTGTTCACTTTTTTAACTTTTTGCTTGTAAAACGGTATTGGCTTGAAAATCAAGGCCAAAGAGACGAGTGTAGAAGTGGCTTGTTTCACTTCTTGTGCCGATCTTCCAAGATGTGGCTCAATCTTCTCTTTTCCTCTCCTTCCCACTTCATGCGCCGTCAATCAGAAACCTGAGCACACGGCCCTGTCAAAGAAATGGGCCGATAACTTCTCTGGACGTTGATAGGAATCCACTAGTTATTTATTGTAACCCAGTTTTTACGGTTGAGTAATCTTCAGTTTCTTAGGACTTTGGTTATTATAGTGTTACTTTGTTTTGAATTCAAATCCTTTCACGCATTTTATCAAAGAGATTTGTGGTAAAAATATCGCGTGAAAGGCGTTTACAGATGAAACACTTTGGAATTCCAATTATACGAACTCCGTTATCGAAATGTTGCACGTTTCCAGTGACGGTTTTAATACACTGCGTGAATCTTCAAACAGCACGGCCGATCTATTTCCGTTTCCGTAAGTCACAATGGAAACACCTTGACACAATTGCAGTAACGTGTCCCGAACTTAATGTGTCTTGAGCACTGGCTTACACATACACGACATTTGTCTGTTTCCCTTCAGCATAAGTAAGTTCATCTTCTGGTACAGCTTACAACATTACGCACTAGTCTTTTTTTCAGAATACTTAGCAGCGGTGTTGTCGGTGTACCTTAATTCTTCTGATCTGACGAAGAAGAGACATTCACTGGACTGTGAGGTTGTGTGACTACACAGAGAGAGCTGGATGCTGCAAGATGAGTTGGTTGTCAGAGGTCTTCTGCTTTGTAGTCGTTGTCGTATGCCAAACTACCACGGCAGTGTGCAGTAGACACTGTTCCGGTTCGCGTCGTCTACTTCGCCCTACTTTGCCGCCACAACTGTTGGACTCCAGCCCGCCTCTCAGTAACCAGCGGCCAATCGTACAACTGTTTTCACCGCTAACGGACCAATCATGTTTAACGATGAAAACAGCTGTTTCTGTGTTAAACAGATATTCTAATCCAAAATAAAATGCAGATTTATTTGAATATTTTAAATGCAATAGCAAATGCGAGGACTTCAGCAGTAACAAATTTTCATTAAAATTACTACCTCCATCACCACGGCGGTAAGCGTCTCTGAAACGTCGGTCATTTTCTACCAGACTACACGATGCAACGTTGCAGAATTCGGACATCATCGCAGTAAACTATTTAGTTAGTGCAATGGCTAAAAGGCTTGATCGTCATTTGAATGCGATGTTCTAGAAGTAGTTGTGTGGGCGTACTCTGTTAAACGTGTAATGATTTGCACACAATAATGTAGCTTCGTGTTCTTAAACATCTGGAGATGGTCTTGTAATTCTTATCGGCGCCGAAGATCAACCGGTCCCATCGCTGTTTGCGCTATCCGTCGTCGCGCTGTTCTGTTGGTGGGTCATTGCCTGAACCTCAAAACAATATATTTCGAAACTAAACTGTTCCTGTAGGGTTATCAGAATAGAGCAGTTTAATGAATGTCTAACCCGTTTTATAAAGGGAACTATAAAACTCGTAATTCATAACTTAACACTTTTCTTCTGATACAATGGTCAGAGATGGTTGTTATAGTTGTGTGCTAGTTTAAGCTATTTTGAAATAATTAATAATTTGTTCTGAAATGCAGCATTTACTATTTATGAGGAAAGATACTAAATAAATCACACCCCTTCGTATCAATATCACTGTGCCTTTACCATTAGTGTAAATTACTATTTCAAACGAGATTTGAGGTTATCACTGCATCGGTTATTCCGATGCCAGTCTTCTGGGTTGTTGCGCCTTATAGTCTGATAAAAGTTTGTTTTCAGATAGTCTGCTTCTATTATGATGAGCAGGACCTTGATGGTGGAGACAGAATAATTCTTCTGAAACGTCTACCAGACTACACGGCACTACAGCCCAGAATACTGCCATTTTCACACTCAGGATTTCTTGTGTATAAGAGAATGAGCTAAAACATGAACGTAGAATTTTGTTCTGTTCTAATAGTACAAGTATTCACAAGTTGAAGATTGTGCAGTTTCGTAACCACGTTCACAGGTCGTGATATCGCATCAGTTGCCTGGTAATCTCTTTCTATGATGTGTTGCAGTTAATAAATGTCTTTAGTAATAAGAACGCAGTAAGAGAGTGTTGGTTTCCTTGTACAATACCGTTGTTTCTTACCCGTAAAACAGCATTGCCGATCTTCTTAACCCGCATGCACATTTAATCTTCTTCCGTTCTCTAACAACTATATCCATTTGCTTGGAGAAGAAATTACCTTTCTTCGTGTAATCTGCAGTCACGAACGCGGAACGATGTCTGTGACCCCACCCACTGAGCCCTTCAGTCCGCTATAATTCTACAATTCATTCGGACATTACATATTTTTGTGACAGCGGTGGAATGGAGGATGGGACAAAGGCAGGTTACACATTACTTTCAGTGATCTGTGTGTTTCAAGGTCAGTCCATCGTCACAGTTTGGGCTCACAGCTTTAAAAATTGGGCTAGAAAGGAGTCTAAATCTGTAGGTTTCTGACGATGGTGTATTATTACAATATGAAGCTTTTGAACATTATCCATTGCCCTAATTTTAATTAAAATTGCTGTGTCCTCTGGTAAATTCTTAAATTACAGAGCTAGTCACCGTCTCCGAGACGTCGTTTTTAATTAAAACTAGGACGATGAGTAATATCCAACAAATTTATTACTGTAGAAAGTATGTTCAGCTAGTCCTTGCTAATTGCATAGGTAGATCTAGGGTAATGGAATGCATGTATGTGTGTAGAAGTTTTTCTTTCTTGTTGAATATTGCTCGCATACCAAACTCGCATTTGACGATGAAGTCACTTCTTTGAACATGAAAATGCGCGAAGTTTACTTTAAAGGTTTACATAATCTAGTATTAATCAACATTTAATCTTATTGTGCAAAATTATAAAACTGGAGTTAGTATCAAACATCTAGAGCAGATGTCGATTTTGGTCTTCTGGGTTGGAATTCCGTGCGAACTTTTTCATAGATACCGAAGTTTTGGAGGAACACATTGTCTCCGTCTTCAAGCCTGAAGGTAGACGCAGTATATTCATCCGAAACGGTATCTGACTACAAGTCCGCAAAGTGTCACAAACCAAAAAAACAACATCGACGTCTTCACCACCGTGAGAACCTCAGATAGCTACTAGAGCAGAACTGTTCTTCTTAATAACTTGTAAACAGATTTTAACATTACAATAGTCTTTAAAATAACAGCACAGGTTTTAAAACCAAAGTAAGTTTAATTACGTCAGGAACGCTGTTTTAGGTCTTCGGAGAATCTTGTTGGAGTAGATGGGGATTGGATTTTGTGTAAGTTCCTCATTGAGACTGTAACTTCGAAATTTATATTCATTGCGATCTGGTACGAAAGTTATATCAGACTTTTTTCATTTCCACTTGTAGTTCTGCAGAAAATTAATTGATCATGCTCCTGTTTGTATATGAAAACATCTGTGGGTTTCTGCCAACTAATGGCAAACATGATTTAAGTACGCATCCAGATTTGGTCATGTAATTCTGCTAATCTTTTTCAGTTCTTGCTCAGACTCCTGGCGCGTCCTCTGTGTCAACAGCTCTGTCCAGGGTACTTAAGTGATTTACTTAAGATAACATAGACAGAACACATTTCTTCTGCAAAGCTCCTTTTTCATCTTCCTGAGAATATTTTAGAATGAGGAAATGTTCTTGGAGTACTGTGTTTATACAAGCAATGAACATCGCTATCCTATACATAACGTAGCTTTTGCTGATTTAACGTCGTACTTAACTTTTTAAATCCCAGTTGTTACTATATGTCCCACTCACTTCAGCAGTCACTAACACTTCACTTTGTATTTTCATACGATCTCACTCTAAACAGGGATTATTTCCTTAAACAGCCCTAACAAGATGATCTTTGTAATGGTGGTGTTTTCTTTGCGGTACAGACTGAATCATTAAATATTGTTTAGGCGAGCTTCTTTTTTAAAGGGTGTATTGTTCTAAGGAGTGACGACTAATGTTTCATGTCATAATGATACTTTGCTACATACATATGATATTGGTTTTAATCAATTTGAGCCTGATGTTCTTTCCCCGATCGAATACTTATATTTCAGGTTTCATATTAATATTATCAAAACACAGAAGTGTTAAATTGTCAGTTTCCTCAAAATAATTTGTATTATTCTCCGTGTTAAATAGATATTTAATCCACAATTGTGACAAGTATTCCCCAGAAATGTATCTCTATGTAATTTGCTGATTTAAAGCAACCATCGTTAGCATCCATTTTACAAAATGTATCACCTACATTTTAGCTATACATGTGGCTTCTTTTCACGACGTTTAACTTCAGAATTCATGTGGGTTTTTTTTACTTAGGCTACTAATTTACTAGCCCATTATAACTCCCATGTAGTATTTATCGTGATAAATGCTAGGCGGATGCTGTGTGATCATATTTCTCGTGTATTTAACTTTGCGTTTTAAGCATACCTACAGATTCTCCTGAATACGCAAGCTTAGAATTCTCGTACTTTCAATTCTCATGTTTCGTCCTTCGAGACGGCTTCGCAGTCATGTCGAGTGTGTGAGAGGTACTGTGTATTGTTTCGTTTTTCTGCGTGCAGACCGTCTCTAGGCAGTACGTTCACTACTGAACTCCACCCCAGAGGACCTTCTTGCCTCCATCATCTGGGTGATGTTGATGAAGGCAATGAGCTCCTCAGAAACGTCGGTCACTATCAACGAGATTGCAGGGTGCTATGTCCCACATGACAGCCATCTTCATGTCGCATCCTGTATCGTTTCATTGAACTTCGTAACGAAATCACACGGTGGTAGTTCTGTGTCGTGAATGGAGCTCGCTTGAGGTTGATGCGCTGTGGTCAGGAGAGTGACGTCACCCCGAGAGCGAGAGTTGTCCCCAGAACAGCGGAAGACGACGTGAGGTTGCTGGGTGGGGTACATGCAGTTCGTATGGTTCGTAGTCTGAAATGACTGATTCCACGGTGACGTTTCTGGCTTGTGTTTAATCACGCCCTGTGAGGAAATGAATCAGACAGCGGAACGTACAGATTTAACGCCTGAAATCACGCAAGTCACTTTCTTGTCCTTTTTTTTATGAGGAAGTAACGACATTTGAGGAAAGTGTGCACTTTATAGGATTACCTTCAAGGTTGGTGGTCAACTGTATGAACTACGAATGATGATGACCGCAGCCCAGGTTATAGAAGCAGATTATGGCGCACAGTTTGCTTCGTTGTAGTGTCTCGTTGATCGCTTGATGAAATTCGACGAATAGCCAACGCATTCCGAGGGGACTTCTTGAGCTTTGTCCCTTCCTGCATAGGCCAGATGACATTCGTTATTTAGTTGTTTTTAATTAATATTGTTGGTGAAGTGTTTACGAGAAAATTATCCTATTTTAAAGACTTCGTACATTTTGAGGGGTACGAAGTATTTATTAGGTTAAAAAATATCTTGTTCAAAAGTAGACACAAAGTTATAGATTTCAGACTGTCATGGTGGTTTAATGCTAATGTGGATTGTATGATTGGAAAACTCTAGTGACTGAGAAATGCCTTTGGTTTTGAAGTAGCCTGAAATGGATTCATTCTAAACTTCTTAAGCAGAATGCCCATCTATTAGCTTTAAGATCTTCGAGCGCGTTCACAACTAAAATCTTCAAAGTGCCTACTCACATGTAAGAACTTGAGAAACGGTGAATGAATTTTCTTTGGATTTTATATTGTGATTTTTTTCTAAACTTCGCTGACACATTCCAACTTAATATGAAATGGGATGACGATGACGGCAAATTTACATTAAGATTCGCATGTGAACTCGTCAGAATTGCTGCACCGTGCGAACATGTTCTATCCTATATCTTTTTAAGACGATTTAAATGAGATGTGATCTCTAATTTTCAGTAGGCAAGGATTATGAAGGATACAATCGAGTTCAAGGTGAAGCATATGGAATCTAATTTTAAGATGCGTACCTGAAACTCGCAGCTATTATTCTCCTTGATTTTGATGGCGTGGCTGTGTTGTTCTTTGCTTATATTTTATGTAATCGCAGATGAACAATGGCTTAGGGTAAACTAAGCATCCAGGGAGTCGAATGTGTTTATGCAAGATAGAGACAGGTTCCGTAATGGAGTACTTATCGTTGTCTCCTGCTTCCCATCTGTCCATTTCGTAAGCCGTGACTTCCGCCTTTGCTAGAATAAAATGCTTCAAATTACTTATTACTTCATGACTCAAGCATAGTTTCTTTTATTATTAGAGAAGGAGCCACTAAAGCTATGACTTGGCTTTAGGACGTCCTCAGTTCCAAATTTGGTATTGTTCTGCCTCTCGTCTTTCGTTAGTCTCATTGCCATTGTATTCCTCAAATAAATTTATTTTTTGGATGAGATTATTATTTTAAGCAGGAAGTAGCCATTGTACGGCTGTCGATAGATTGAGCGTACACCGTGTGCATAATTTATAATTGTAATTATTATTTTGTGATCCGTGGGAAGGCATGTTTCGAGCGGTTTTGCGGATCTGTTAATGCATTTAGAACCATATGGTTTGTAAAGTGAGTACAACTGACAAATAGCTAAGTAAGCAAGGATAAATAATGTGTGAGACTAACTCTTTTAATTTGAATTCCTCGCTTATTTAATGTGTGTTAATATTTACATCACTGCCATATGCGTAATGGTCTTAAATTACTTGACAGGAGAAGTCGGCAGTTGAAAATACTAGTTGCACATTATTTTCCTTCACGCAGGGATCTCTTATGGCAGTGTTTGCCATTTTAGGAATGTTTGGGGAAAATCTAAAACCTCCCATTTGTCTGAAGTTTGCTGTCTCCTGGGTTCTTGCGCCCTGTAGTCTGGTAGTTTAACGACGTTTTAGAGGTGCTTGCTGCCTCCATCATCATGGCATCTCCCTGATGATGGTGGCGGCAAGCACCTCTGCAATTTTTGTAAACTCCTACCAGCCTACACTGCCATCTTTATCGGAAGTTTATTTTGACATATCTGTCATAAACGTTCTCTCTCAATTATCCGTTTATCCATTAGTATTATGTAATTAGTTTCACGTGTCTCAGTGATGTAATTATGTAGGCCTTGTCGATTTAATGAAGTCCTCGTAATTACATCATTGAAACGGTGCACTAGTTTCAACTATAGCCTATTAAATCTTAAGCGAATCGCCTTAGGTAGTTCATGAAAACGTGATCTAGACGTCTGTTCATATCTTCAATACGAGTCTGTGTATTAACCTCAAATCTAAATACTTAGCTGTATGTTCGAACAGACACACGTAACAGAACGGCATCCATGTTCTAGATGTATTCACAGAGTGGTTCGTAATTGATCGTGCTGCCGTAAATTTGTGTAACGCGAGAAGTGCAAGTAATCTTTAGAGATCACAGCTACAAATTATAAAAGATGAAGATGAAGAAATGACAGCCGTAGCATATGTATAACATTAACACAAATTTCTGTGTTTATCGTTCGGCTTCAAAAAAATGTGCCAAAAACTGGGTGCTTCGAGTAGGTTTGTTTCTTGCCAAATACGATGTTTCCATTTAGGGACGTCGTTTGTAGGCTACGTATCTGAGATGCTGCTTCTTGCCAAATACGATGTTTCCATTTATGGACGTCGTTTGTAGGCTATGTATCTGAGATGCTGTTTCATGCACGAGTTTAATTTGTTTCTCATGATCCGTCCCTCTCAATGAGAATGAAATGAATTTAGGTAGTTTGCCAGTTAAGTAGGAAGAGAGAGTTACAGGAAGTACCGCTTTGCTATGTTGCATGAACTTAAAAGAGGGGCCACAAACAGTGCTACAGAGCTGCATAGAATGTAGCATTTTTGAGATGCATACTTCCATCCATTTCATCATATTTCAAAAAATAATATGCTAATAATAGCAGAGTGTCCGAAGTGTTACTGCGATAAGTTCGACAAATGCTTACATTTCTTATGTTATTTATTTCCCGAAGGCTAAGCCTTTTGTTGTAGCGATTGCGATGTGAAAAGTGTAGTTAGTTTTTGGTTAATTAGCTTGTAGTTTGTGCTGCCTACTTCATTTGATTATTCGTAGAGCGCTTTGGAAGTGTGGCCAGTCATTATTTTCCTTGCACGTAACCTTGCAAAGTCAGCGTCTACATAAGCAACGTTATCGTCGACTCCGGAATACTGAACGGCTCGCGGAAACATGGAATAGATGGGACTGCAGTAATACTGTCATACATCAACTCAACCCACGAAGGAAGTTTCTTGTGTCGATCTTAGGAAGTAGCAGATAATTGAAATCACGTGTATAGGAAGTTGTTTCAGCACGTGACTTGTTAAACGCTAATGAAGAAATGAAAGGATAAAAAGGTACCCCACAGACTTATTGACACAAATTACATTTTAAAAATCTAAAATAAGTAAAAAGTATTTCACGTGTTTTAGATTTGCGTAGTTTTTGACCCAGATATGTGCATACTAGGATAGACCTTTTCAGGTCCGTCGTAACATACAGTGAATGTATGCCAGTATATAAAGCGGCACAAGGATTGAATATGCTTCTAGGTTATTTAAAGCGCCATTATATTTTTCTTGAAGCAGATGGACCAACCAGGTCGTCGATATCTGGCGCTACTACTTAACATGCCAGTGAAATTCTTCTTTTAGCACGTAGATTATACACCGTGTATGTATAAATTGGAAGATGAAAGTTGTTCCATTGTGACACTTTTGACTTTGGAATGTTAACACACCGATGAATATTGTAATCATGAACGCCAGCTGTCTTGTAACACAAATTTATCCCTGTTTTCTCTTCTGATTTACATATCCGTGTCTCTGTGTTGGTAGGTAGGCTTCTGTCTTTGTTGGAGATGTGAATGAACGCGAGAGCGAGCATTTGAAGAGTAAAGTAAAGATGTACATCGTATATCGGCGGTGTCAAGAGTATGTTGAATGTAGTATAACAGGGTTATGGGAATATTTGGATTTAAGAAACAGGAATAAACAAGATGCGAAAGAAATTGCGTAATTAATTCACAAAAATTTGTACTCTTAGGCAAATATTATGGAGACCATTCTATGGAGACTCGCTTATATCTAGCTTAACTCTCGACTTCAGAAGGAGGATTTTGCTTCATGCGATTAGTTAATGTATTAGGTAATTATTTATATTAATGTCGAAATACACTCTTAAGAATACTAGATTATGGACAAAAAATAAATCTAGTAATACCGCTATTAAACCATTGCCACAAACTTTTATAATCTGTTGTAATCGTGTTTGTTAATGCACCAGCACCACAGATAATGATCGTCGAAGAAATTTTTGCATATAATTCGATTTACACCAGCTCATAATTTGAGTAAATGTTCAGAGTGGCCCAGGTGTACAGTTTCTCACTCGGAAACAGAATCCACTTTATAAACTTTTAGGGCATCGAATGGAACAACCACCTAGGCAGAACCGTCCTGACGATGGTCTTTGACTCTGACCTCTTCCTCATCCTTCTTGCTACTTTCCTGTGAAAGAGAGCAAGAAATGAATCGAGGGAAAGAAATCTAACCTGCGGATTTGCAGTCAACCGCAATATACAAAAAAGTCACATCGCGGTCTGTACAGGACACGGACCATGGAGTTCCAGTGGCTGTAGCACGTAGTGGTAAATCTGCGCAGCGACGTTGTCCCTGAGAATTTCCGTCTTCACAAATACGGAAGCTCCAATATTTAAGGCTGTTTTTTATTTAATGATGCGATGGAACCACCGTTAGTAAAGAACGTACAACTGCCCCATGCTGCACCAAGGGCCACGGCGAGGTCTCCACTATTAATAGCGCAGAAATTGCTCTCAGTACGTGTAGAACAATGCACCTGATTCCTACGTCGATGAAACTTTCAATATTAATCTGCAAGGAAATTACGAGGTTAGTTCAGCAGAGTTACGTTGATGTTCAAAGTATGTAAGTGATAAAATTAAATCGGCTATTTAGATTTTAAGAAACGAGTTGGGAAAATAATAAGTTTCTTTGAATTGCCCATGTTTTTGCAGTGCTGTACTGTGCAGGTAGAAGTTTTGCTAATCCACTGTTCAAATGCAGTCATTACCTCGTGTTTTGTTGACATGGTTTGATTTTTATGCCAAACAATAGTATTCATCGTTTGTATGTGCAATTATGCATCAGTGCGCATTTGAATGTCCCACAGAACTCGTATGTTTATTGATTCCAGCCACTAATTGACTCTTCTCGAACAGTCGGCATAAATTTTCGCCGCTCAGGAAAGTTAGTTTACTTTTACTGTATGCAGTATAACTGCAAATTGAATTTTCAGGTACTTGAACAATGAGGCTTGATGTCGACGTGGCAGACATCAGCTTATTGCTGTGGCCTTCCGGAGGATGGGAGATTTTGCAGCAGGCGAACGTGACTTTCATTAGTTAAGGCATTGTGTACCTGCTCGTATACTGGAATGTAACGGAACTCGGTGAGGGTATGGATTATATTACCTGCAACAACAGTAACGTAAATCAAAAATATTCGTTTCATATTTCAAGTGGTCCACGTCTTGCCAAATTTGTTATTGTTTTCTGAGCTGAGGATGTACGTACTCATAGTACGCAAAGTATGTACGTTGTAATTTTGGGCATGTGGGGACTAGGAGATATAATAAGAACTTGGCGTCTGCTTGTTTATTTGATTGAAAAACCACACGAGTAATGTGACATGAATTCAGAAACCCATGTTATATTTGTATTGTGGAATTTTTGTTTGTGTACGGGGCAGCAGCTTTGTGTCTTCAGACATTTGTAATCCTTTGCACAGTGTACACGCGCCATGTTCGATCCGTTAATCATTTTAAGAGGCCGTAAGCACTCGTGCAAGAGCTAAATCAGTTGTCGTGACAAAGTCGGGCCCTTGTGTGGTATATAGTACATGTGATTTATGTGCAGACTGTACGCATCGTGACCACTGTGTTTACCTGAATGAGTGAGAATCTATGATTACTAGACGAAATATGCAGACATTAATATTAGTGTTTAATTATGCAGAAATTGCAGTCATAACGTTTGATTTATTTTGATGTCCGCTGGGAGATATGCGTTGGCGAGTTAAGAAGCGTTAAGTGTTTAGTAACCGAGCCTTAATTTAAATTTCAAATTTCGTAGCTGAATTTTTCTACAGTATTAATGCCGTTAACTCGATCTCCTTCTTCGGAAGGTAAAAAGGCCGGAGCGTGAAGCTGGCCACTAAACCGACCTCATAGTCTGTATGTCGTGCGAATGACAGGTTAGCTTAACCTAATTAGCTAGTTTACACAGACCTGTAAGTTATCTTAATTCATCTAGGTAATTCAGAAATTGTTTATCAGCTTTATGTATACTTTTGTACATACGAAATGCCAGCAAAACTCAAGAAGGCCCATACTTCTTTCTGATGCATTTTAATTACACTTGGCTTAAGTAAGGATGTATTTGTAAATTAATCAGACATATGACATTAGGAGTGTGCATGACAGTGGACTAAATCAGATATTTGTGAGTTCTGGTGAATTTATGAACTGGGCGAATACATAAGTAGATTATCGTGTCGCTGATACCATAGACGAACATATATGTCGCTACTTAAAGAATGCCTGGTTGACGCTAAATCTGAATTATATTAATGTTATGTATATTCGTACTAGAATCTAAGATCTAACTATTCTAAAAAAATCTTTAGAGAATCTTCAGAAATTCCGCGATCTCTTCTTCTTCTTCTTCTTCTTTTTTCTTCTTCTTCTTCTTCTTCCAGAAACAGGCCGTTGAGATGAACCGAAATGTGTTTCGGTATTTGACATTTACGAAACTTAGGCTTATTAGCAAATGATTTCGGAAACCTGCTAGAAAAAAATTGAAACTTTACCGATTCACGTTTTTTTTGTTTTCTCCTCGTTCATTGGACAAAATAGTTTTCCAGTAGCCCTACCTACTTAAGTCATGAAAACGTAACTGTAAAATTTCAGATTACTTACAGATTACGATATATGAAGTTCCCACGTTTTGTTTGGGCTCCTTGTAAAGTTACCTGTTTTTGAGTTAGCAAACTTTGGAAATCACCCACTCAGTTTTAAATAAGTTATTACTAAAATAAATATTCTTAGCAGATTGCTGGGTGCGGCTTGGTGCATTCGGCATTTGCTCTCGTCCACCTGGTTTGCAGTCTAGCCTCAACTCCGTATTTTGCCGTGGAATGTGGATGCAGTATGTGGTGAATGTATACAAGTTTTATCATTCTGAAGTTTCGATGCACGCAGAAGTGAGTGCGTGCATCGGTCAACGTTTTGACTCCAAAGCTACTTCTTGAATTTCATCCAAATATGATGTTGGTAGAATCGTAATTAAAGTTGAATTTTTCGTTGTTCTCAAGAATGGCTCATTAGTCAAATATTTTGTTCGTGACATAAAATTGTAGGTCTCATTAAGATCTGTATTTGATACTTTTTCTGGTCTCTTGAATATTTAAGTCTGTCCTTTGTCTCCACGAAATGGCACGTCCTCAAGTTGCGGATGGAGGTGGAAGCCTTCAGATATGGAGGATGACTGCATGTATATTGAATAAGCAGCCGCAGACAGCCGACAAGGGGTAGCCCTCCAACTTTTGGGTTGGGTGGGCGTTTAAACAACTCCCACCTTAAAAAAGATGTGTTACGAAATGTTGCACAAGGCCTGGGAATCGAGGAGATGGCCGAGGTATGTAGCGCGCGTGATGTGATGAGAAATGTGTACAAAATTTTCAGTAGAAATCTTGAAAGACACCATTCGGAAGAAATCAATGGAGATAAGGGATAATATTAAAATGGTTTTTAGGGGAAATAGATTTTGGGCGTGTGGATTTGATTTGTCTGGCGCAAGATAGGGACCGGTGGCAGTCTCTTGTGAACAGTGTGATGATCTTTCGGGTTTTATGAAAGGCGCGGAGTGTCTTCTGGTTTTGTACTGTGTGCTCTCTGCGGTACTCATAGTTTCGCTGCCGTTTTTCTCTTCTATAAATGAACATCGCTGGTGAGGTATGCAAATTCGCTACGAACGCATTTAGAATGGGATCCACGTTTCACTCCGGTCTTCCTTGGGAAGTACGACACACCACAAGGACGTAGGGACAAGCCAACGGCCTCTGAAATGGTTGTGGTGGCGTTGGCGAAGAGGATGAGAATTGAAAATGACGGTGATGAGTTAATGAAATGTTTTATTCTTTTATTTACCGAGTAGTCAGAACTCTTTAACAGAACACGATCAACGAACGTTTGTCACGACTGTCAAGGGCTCCCCAAAGAGACTTCTGCCGCTTAGCTGACATTGCTTCTGTACAAAGTCCCGTACTGCAAACATGAAATCGGGCAGAAACATGATTCTTAATATGAGCTGTTTCGGCAGGTGTCCATTAACCAGAGCGTAGCCATTATAGAGATTTTATTTGTGTTGCTGTCTTCTTAATATGAGCTGTTTCGGCAGGTGGCCCTTAACCAGAGCGTAGCCATTATAGATATTTTATTTGTGTTGCTGTTGTTTTATAATAGCATTTATGAATCAGTATTTTAGTTGGGGTGTTGTAGGAATTGGGTGAATATAGTTTGTTTCCTGTTATATATATATTTTTAGCAAGATTTATATTTAATCGAAATGTTAAGTTTCTACTACGCAATTTATTTAGTGTAATTAAATATGCTTTATTGTGCGCTAAAACTTTTTATTTATGCCCCAGGTTTATGTTAAAAGCATACTTTACTTATTTCGTTCTCCAGTTCAGTTTAAATTATGTATTTGATTGCTTGGATTAGGTCATAAATTAGCATACTTCTTAAATTCATTACTCTATTTCTTGGATGCTACTATTATAAAAGAATGTTTTGGGTCAAAATATAATTCAGCTTGTGAATTACATAGATATTATAAAATTTTACAACTTGCATCATATGCTTCCAGTAATTTTCACATGGAGAACTATATGAAGAGGTTAACGTATGTTCTTAAACTCGGTCATTGCCTGTTGCGAAACAAGATTATGGGCTTATATATAAGTTATTTTAATTATAATTCCTGCACGTTCCCTTGTATGATAACGTACGTATCTTCTAAGTTTCGGGCTTCACTTAAATTTGTCACAAAAAATTAAAACGTGTGGAGAAAGAAATGTTTAGCTAGATTCCATAATGATTTGACTGGAGTGTAAAAGGGTTTTGTATATTGATATCTCCTTCTGAAAGTCAATTTCATGCTGTAAACTATAATGGAATGTTTTCATTATGTTTTTTTCTCTCTCTCTCTCTCTCTGCTGAGAAGAGTTTAACCACAAAACATCGTATCCCATTCAGGCACACAACAAAATTCCATCATGGAAAACTGCCTGATAAAATCGTCAATCTTAAACTGGACACGTAAGAGAGTGTTATCCTCTTCGCTAATGACTGTTGGGGAACGTTCACTGATGTAATGTGTCCAACAGGAAGGACGCACTTGCCAACAATACAGTACTGGTGATATCAGGTTCAAATCCGTTACGCATTATTTTTAAGTCCTCCGAACCATCCTTCTACCCATCTTCTCAGATACAGCGATGCTTGTTCGTTTGCACAGTTAATACTCTTCTGATAGATCTATTTTTTTAAAAAAAATTATTTTATTTTGGTCCTTCAGCCTGCTTCAACGACGAAACATGATTAGATGGAAATATGAAATATGAATTACACTTGTCAGGAATATTAAAGGAAACTGTTCTATCCCATGTCATGATTGTATTCTGATATTGGACTAGATGTAACTGAAGCATAACATGTATCTGGAGTCGATCCACGGACCATGGAAAGCAAGTCATATACCTACTCGTCCTTCACTGTCTCTCACGTCCTCACTTCACATTGAGACGTATGTAGATGGTGATTGATTATGAATTGTTGGAAAAAAAGATGAAGCTTTGAGTTTCTGACGACGGTGAATACGAAGATGGTTGTCTTGTGGGGCGTGTACCCTTGTGGTCTTGTAATCATCAACCTGATGATGAAGGCAGTAAGCTACTCTGAAACATCGGTTAGCATCTTCCAGACTACACGGTACGACATCCCTGAACGGCACACATTCTTAACCTAGGCTTTAGATGATGGTGAGTGGTTATCTTCACGCTCCGGTCCCTTTACCCGCTAGGAAAGAATAAGTGTGCCAATTTGACAAGAGGCTCAGTAGACCCCAGGGTCGGTCTGAACGTTAACAGTGAAAATAGAAACCCTTCCCTGCGGGACTCGAACTCCTCGTCATTGTAGTGACTTGAGTTATCAGTTCTCGTGTAATATATCTGACGTGTATTGTAGTAGTTGACAGTCGACTGAATATTCAACGCAGTGCACGTAAAGTGTCGCGTATTGACTGAAATTACTGCGTCATGCTCGCAGGTTTTGTGCTTGGCATAACTGAATTGTAAGAAATAACTGGAACGTAAGCCAATTTTTGGCGATTTGCAGTCTTGTTGTTTTGAAAAGCGTGAACCTATTCGTGTTTGCCAAAATTACGTAAACATTAAACTTAATAAGGGGTTGACACTCTCGTGGGATGTTGCACTGTGTCGCCTGTCGACGTTTCAGTGGTGCTTGCTGCCTCCGTCTCGAAGGCTTAATATTTTCTCCTCAGCCCAATGCTACATATTTCTTTCTAGAGGTGTTGTAGTACAATATGTTGCTAGTCGGATGTGACGCCACTGAAATTCGAACGAATCAACAGAAATTGAAATTAATGACCGAATCTTGCGCTTGCAGTATCAATTTATCTGCAGAAGGCATTCGAAAGGTTGGCAAAGGAATTCATTTTGAAATAAATGCAGATAAACTATGTGTACGAACATGTCGCGAAATTAAAATCAATAACGTGGCCATCTGACAACATTTAATGGAACACTCTAAATGTGCCATAATATAAGTAGCTGAAAAACAGTAGCAAAACGAAATTACTCTCATGGGACAGAGATTTTGATGGATTTTTATTATTGGTGTCATTCTTTGGGGAACTGGCTTCCCTCCGTTACATGCATCTGTTCAGCGCCTCCGTGTTTATGTGTTATGTATTTGTCGAACATGGTCCCTATTAGAAGAATGAAAACTAGGAGTGTCTAGGTGAGATCTGAGTTGCTCACGGAGATGTCTGTGAAGATGGCTGTGTTCTGGTCTGTAACACCGTGTAATCTAGTAGATATTGACCATCGTTTCAGAGGAGCTTACTGCCTTCATCATCAGGGTGACCCTGATTTATTATACCCATTTCCTGAGCAGTAATTCATACACACGACGTTTCGGGAATAGAAGTAACTTTCGAAGCGTCGTAGATGTAAAATTTCTCCTCCATTATGTTGGTATGCTTGTAGCTGTGGTTAGTTTGTGTAGATTTGCAACGCTTAGCATCCTGAATGCACACTGTGTAAATTCTGTAATGGAGTTTGAGTGTGCGGAGGAGATCGATACCTGTGAGAAAATAGAGGCCATCGCAAACGAATTCGATATACGTGTTATTGACTTAGCGTTGTCAGTAAGCGGTGCGAAGCATAGAACGACTTCAGATACATAGCCGTACGGAACGGAATGCTCTAAAATACTTGCATTTTGCAATAATTCACTTCCCTGTGAAGTTTCTTGACCGCGACAGTGTGGTTTCCGGCTTCCCTGCAACAAGGAACAGATTCCTGGAAGGTTCTTAGCATTCTCTTACTCGACTTCGTGTGACGTGACGTCAGGTGATCGAGTCTGCCATGTGATTTAACCACGAAGGAATTTTGGTCATCTTGGATATTGCACCGTGTAATGTGGTAGATGTTTACCGACGTATCAGAGGTGGTTTCTGCCTCCGTCATCCATTTCCCTGTATCTAGGCTTATGTAGCGATACAGCCGCCTCTTTACATAGAGTAGGTACGTCGTATGTTGAGATTCCAGGTTACATGTACGTGAATCGTGTCTGGTTCGGGTCATGTATTGGCGTGAATTCCACTCCATTTAAACCGTGATGCTGAACTGCATATCATTTACGGTTTACAGTCGTTGACCTGTTCAAACATTGCAGAGTAGGGTGTGTTGCTGTGACTTTATTAAATGTGTGAGTAGCCTATACGCTAACCATATGCTTATAAGTGGCTTTGTAGTTTTCAACTTAATTCATGGGGCAAACGTGAAATTATCGAATAATTTGCAACCCCGTTACAGACGTAATTGGTCGTTCCTTCTGTAAATACTGTGTGTGTGTGTGTGTTTTTTTATTTTTTATTTTTTTTATTTTTATTATTAAAGTTAGCCTTCAGAGCTCTTTCGCAGTTTTATTCCTTTATCGTCCTGAAACCATCGTTATTGCACCGTGTGCGTAAACTGCAGAGTTATTGAACGTTAAAGCAGGTGGTACGTGTAATTAGCATTTGGCCTTAAACGTTTAAATGTACAGATTAAAAAATGTGCATTATGTTTCGTGTGTGGGTTACATTATTTTATTACACGTCATTGAGAGGGTTTTAAATATTTGAAATAAGGGGAAATTCTTGACCATCTTAGCGACTATTAGTTTGTCAATTTTTACTCTGCGCCATGGATTTTTTTCTTGATTCCTTGGTCGTCAACAAAGCAGTTTCCATCATTCTCAAAATTCCTTCCGACTTTTTGAAAAGAAGCTGTTCCGCCACTAACGCAGTTTGATGATATGCATTCATTCTCAAAATTCCTTCCGACTTTTTAAAAAATAGCTGTTCCGCCACTAACGCAGTTTAATGATATACACGGGAAGTGGCGATATGGGGCTAGGTGTGTGTTTCTGCATTGTAACAGCCAGGAAACCAAGACATTGAATATTCAAAAGGCGAACCGCATCGTGGGATCAGCATGTTTAGTAATTCACAAAGTGGGACAGGACGCTTTCTGAGTGGCGACGTCAGAGTTGTTTCGACGCAGTGGCAGACTGAATGAAGCCGATAGCTGAATGTTCGCGCTGCGTTTTTGCCTGTTCCATTTCATTCCGTCCGCTTGCTCGACCCCGTGCGTTTACTGGACCGGTACATAATACAGCTGAGCAGGACCTGTAGGGTGCACTGTGTCAGGTCACGTCTGACCGCTCCGTTGTGTAACCTGTTCACAAATGAAATCAGCATATCGGTTACTGAGTGTATCCTCCCAACTCTTGTGTTGGCGGATGGCGAATATTGTTAAGTGCACGCGATGAGCTTTGGTGCGTGTTGCCTGCTGTCTTCTGCCATCATGTTCAAATCACCATCACCTCCAGTGTATCTGAATGTTGTTCTCGAGGTATAGATTCGGCCTCTCTGAAGATATGATATATTCAAGAAAATGTTCGTGGTCTTCATTTTATATTTTTAACATTCTTCCATTATCATCACTTCTCATATACAGTGTGTTCCATTTGAAACTCAT